CTAACAATGAAGGCATCAAAGCAATATTAAAACATGTAACAATCCTTATTCCAACCCTCCAATCAAGTTCAGAAACAACTTGCACACAGTTCATCTTCCAGGAAGCACAATCCCAACAGTGTTCTGTGCACTTTAAGTGGTGAGAAATTTCAGGAGTGCCATTGCATACCTTCAAGAAGGAGACTGTGGTGGAGAGGCAGATAGATTTGCAGCCAATAACCTCTTACTGGAATTGGCTGGTAGTGGGAGTGCAGTTCTTGTCTCTGGAAATTTGAAATCTATTTTTGTGAGTCTGACTGCTTCCTACAAGTTCTGCTTGTATATTTGTAAACAAAGCAATTATTCCAAAAACATTGTAAGTCTTCAGTGCTCTCTTAGCCAAAGGAAAGTAAATCCATAAAGCATGACCTACGAAACCTCTCACCTCTTGGAAGTGGGGAGCATGTAACTGTAGCTTATATGCAGCTTAAGGAATTTCTTTTCATGCTTTACACATTTGATGATTACATATAATTGGGGAAGGGTGATATGGCAGACTGGGAATGCATAAAGTCTATGTACCCTATTCTGACTTCCTTGTCAGGTCTGCTCAGTCTGTTAACAGAAAACATACACTTTGTGCACTCTTTATTTCACAATGAATCTGTTTCATGAGACTCTCACACACTGCATTCCTTGCATTTGGTAGATTATCATTTGGTACCAATCGTTCTGCAGTATAAACTTCTTTTCCAGTATCTAGTCAGTGATGATAAGTCTACACTGATAAAACAGGGAAAGAGAAGAAGAGCATGTTAGTGTCATCTCATGCTTATCCTACCGTATTTGAGAACCAAGACTGGTGTAAGCTAAACAAAGCTCTCTTGGGTGAAAATCAAATAATCTTTCTCAGGGGTTCAGCAGAACTTTTACAAAACCTAACGAGTCTCTAGATCGGGGTAGTTCACATGGTGCCCACCGAATGTTGTTGGATTGGATTATCATTTTCATCAGCCCCAGCCATCATGGAGTTAGTAAGGTAAAGGTACCCCTGCCCGTACGGGCCAGTCTTGACAGACTCTGGGGTTGTGCGCCCATCTCACTCAAGAGGCCGGGTGCCAGCGCTGTCCGGAGACACTTCCGGGTCACGTGGCCAGCGTGACAAAGCTGCATCTGGCGAGCCAGCGCAGCACACGGAAACGCCGTTTACCTTCCCACCAGTAAGCGGTCCCTATTTATCTACTTGCACCCGGGGGTGCTTTTGAACTGCTAGGTTGGCAG